CCTTGAGCTCACTTTGTAGTCCAGGCTGGTCTTGAACTCGCAACCGTCCTCCTGCCTCAGCCTCCTGAGTCCTGGGATTACAAGTGTGCACCACCACACCCAGCTCTGCCACATTTTTAAGTAGCAAAAAGAGGAAAAGTGCTTTCCTCTTCTGCAGGATGTAGGTTTATCAGCCATTAAAACTCGGACTCTTCCACCTTTTCACTAGCTGTGAACCAGCCTTCCTGTCCAAGGATGTGAAACTGCATAGTAGTGAGGCTGTGCACACTGATGTTTACAAGATTGAAAGAGTCATTCACCAAGCATCATCCCAAAGAATAACAAAACTTAACAAAATGTGCTTTCTGGAGAACTGCACCTTTTATTGTTTGCTTGCATATCAGTAATTTCTGCTGTCATAATGAAGATATTTCCAGGATTTTTTTCCTGATTAGAAGTGGTAGCCAGTATGTTAACTGTTGATATACAAATAGATGAAAAAGGATTGGAAATAGACTCTCAATCATGAAAACATTTTTACAATTTTTTTAAGAAACCATACTAAACAGGGTTTAAAGAAAATTACAACAGAAGTTTGAAGGTACAATGTTATAGTATCAAATTTCTACGTTGATTGTATACTTCAGGCGGGGAGAAACTGGTTCTCATGACATTCATTTTATTTTCATCTGTGATAGTCATGAATGCTTTTATTTTTCTTGGGGCGCTGAAAATGAGCTATAAAAAAAAGCTCTTTGAACATAATTTTAATTTCTGCAACGTTTTTTATTTTGTTTGTGGGCTGTTGGAGTTGTAATATTTTGTAGTGCTGGAGATTGAACCCAGGCCCTTGTGCATGCAAGGAAAGAACTCTACCACCGAGCCACATCCCCAGCCCCAGGAATTGTAATTTTTAATTGTCTTCTAAAATGGAGAATTAGGGGCTAGGGATATAGCTCAACAGTACAGTGCCTTGCTTGGCAAGTGCAAGGTCCTGAGTTCAATTCCTGATACCAAAGTAAAAAATAAAAAAATAAAATCTCACTTAGACCAGCTGGCTTATAGTCTGTGTCTCTCTTTCTCTGTCTGTCATGCCCGTACACACAAATTTCTTGCCATATCAACTTCTTAACTTGATTATGCTTAATACCCAAGATACATACTATTGTATTACTTGGGCTGGGGATATAGCTCAGTGGCACAAGCACCTGCCTGGCAAGCACAAGGTCCTGAGTTCGATTCCCAGTACCAAAAAACAAAACAAAAACACATACTACGGTATTACAGATTTATTTTCCTAGCAATAAATTTTCAGTTCTTCATGATTCCACTTAAAAAAAAGTCTTCCCCCACATGGAAGATTCCTTAATCATCTAACTGGAGGATTACCACCTTCTTTTGAATTACTGTACTCTTTTTTTTCTTGATTAGCTATACATTGTGTGTATGTGCTTGTCTCTGTATTTGTTACTGCACTGTATCTCCAGCCTTTTGGCCAGATTAGGCTTGAACTTGCTATACTGCCTCAACCTCCTACCATGCTAGGATTATAGGATATGCTACCAAGCCACCATGGCTGGCTTTGATAGACACCTAGAACTTGCTACATCCTTGTACTGTGCCAAAAGAAAACTCGGTTACACATTGAAGGAACTTCAGGTATAAACAGCTAGTAGAAAGTCACATAAACACGTGTGGATGTTGAGTTGGGTACAGTAAGAAGCTACAGATGCAGTTAGAAGAGGCTAGGTAATGGAGAATATTGAATGTATATCAAGCTGGTGCTCATGGACATTATTTTTTAGATAGCAGAAAACTATTGATGAATTTTTATTTTTTATTTTATTTTATTTTTTTATTTTTTTTTGTCTTTTTGAGACAGGGTCTCCCTATGTAGTTCAGGCTGGCCCTGAGCTCACTTTGTAGCCCAGGCTGGCCTTGAACTCTCAATGATCCTCCTGCCTCAGCCTCCTGAGTGCTGGGATTACAGGCATGTGCCACCACGCCTGGCACATGATAAATTTTTATTTTTTATTTTTTTATTTTTTTATTTTTTTATTTTAAAGAATAAAAGAAGGATAACATAATAATGGGGGGACTTAGCAAATTACAGACAAAATGGTAGGAAATTATCAATGGTTATCGTTTTACATATTATTGTCTACAAAATAGTTTCTCAGGAAAACAAATAGACAAATAATAGTGAGTTACAGACAAAAGAGGTAGGAGATTATCAAGAGTTGTTGTACTATACTTTGGTATCTTCAAAGTGGCTTCTAAAGAAAATAAATAGAGCTATACATGAGTGACCTATTGAAAAATCATTAACTATTCTCAATGGTTGTTGTAGGAAACACATAATAATAAACAGACATCCATTTATGAAATAGGATAGGAACATTACAAACTTTGCACAGTTATGGATAGATTAGTAGGAAAATATCAATGGCTGCTGTAATACATGGTGGTATCTTCAGAGTGGTTTCTCAGGAAGACAGAGATATGCAAGAGGGACCTATTAAGTAGTTACAGCCTAAGGGTTGTCAAAAATAGCATATTACCTCCTCACCAGTGACTCCTTTCACTGAGGTATGATGGCTGGAAGGAAGGCCAGGATTGAAAAGAAGGACCGAGAGACTTGCACCTGTGTCTAGCAACAGGCTGTTTTCTTGTTCCTCCATAGTCATGATTACCCAGGGCTCCTCGATGGAGAGGACGGTCTGGCCAGAGGAGTGATAAATTTTTAAATAGGACAATCAAATGCCCAGATTCTTGTTTCAGAATAATTATGGTGGAAGAAGGGAGGCTGGGTGTCTATGCCAAAAGCTAGTGTCATACTTCAACTAGCTATAATGAGGTTGTGACCTCTGGCTGTGGTAGAAGAATTAATTTGAGAAACACTGAAAAGATAGATTTGTAGGATTTTAATTCAAACAAAAGCCTTAGAAATCTCACATATTTTTTAAAAAATAAGCCAAGGCATAAAAAGTGAGGACTCTTACTTCCTGGTTTGAGTGGCTGAATTAATAATGCCTTTAGCCAAGAAGAGAGCATTCGAAGGGCTGTCAGGTTTCTTGGCTCTGCCTTCGCCTGGTACCACTCTTTGCTTCCTTTCCTTCTCATGGTCTTCAGAGCATAGTTTAAAGTAAGTCAGATACCTAATGCCACTGAGTTGTACACTTAACCTGGTCAAGATGGAAGATTGTATGTTTACAGTATTTTACCGTGTACAAGAAAGTAAAATCAAAATCAGATCTTACCATTTTTTAAGACATTTGAGTAAAGCTAAAAGCTGAGATTCTATGTAATCTGCTTCTTTCCTACCCATACCACATCCCTCCTGTTTCAGACCTCATCTCTTGCCATTTCCCTCCTTTTGTCTTCACGACAGTAACAGTGGCCTCTGCAGGCTCCCCAAGTAGCCCACTGTCTCCGAGCATTTGTATTTACTATTTTCTTTGTCTGGGGCATACTTGCTCCCTAAATTTCCATGGTGGAAACCTAATCATTTTCTTAGGGTCTCTTCACTGGTCAGCCTGTATAGAAAATGTGACCTCCTTTCCTTGTCACTGTCTGTCCCTTTACTCTGCTGAATAACTATAGTTATATAGTTCTTTGTGTCACTTATTATTCTCTCCTATATGTTTATATACTTAATTGGGTTTTTATCTGTCCACTTATTAGAATATAAGCCCGATGCAAACAGAATGTGAGCTCTCACATATTTACCACACAGCCAGATGCTTGACATGTAGAAAATGATAAATACTTACTTTTGTTTTCTGTTTTGACTGGATTTGTAATCCTTTATATGAAAGTTTTAGTCACTTATTATTCATTCTACTTATTTGGCTTCTTTTGTGAATATAGCCCTGTGTTCCACAACTGAATAAAGAAGAAAGACAAAGAGGCATGATTCATGAATTTTAGACCCTCTAAAATTTTTGTTCAAAGCTTTTTCCTTTGAATGTTAAAATTTTTTTTTTCTTTCTGGAAACAGTGTCCGGCTATGCAGTCCAGGTTGGCCCTGAACTCACTCTGTAGCCCAGGCTGCCCTCACACTTGCAATGATCTTCTTGACTCAGCCTGCTAAGCACTGGGATTACAGCCATGCATCACTATGCCCAGCTAAAACATTTCAGCATTTTTTACCCCCTTTCTTTGTGTGTCTGTGGTACTGGGGATTGAACTCAGGGTCTTGTGCATGCTAGGCAACCACTTTACCACTGAGTTATATCCGCAGCCCAAATGTTTGAGGTAATGTGAATTTCTACTATCAAAACTGAACTAAAGCATTTAAGTTTATAAATTTTAGCAACAGAAATTCAGAAGACCCCATTTTAAAAAATTTTTTATGTTGCAATGACATGTCTTACAGTTGGCAATATTGATAATACAGAAGTCTTTCTTTTTGTATATTTATGTACATAAATGTAGCCAAAGAAAGATTCCTATATTAATGTTGCCAAATGCAAGCTGTACCATTATGATATTTACATATAGTCAAGTACTATGACAGGTTGTATATATATATATATATATATTTTTTTGCCTTTTTGAGACAGGGTCTCACTATGCAGTTCAGGCTGGTCTTGAGCTCACTTTGTAGCCCGGGCTGGTATCGAACTTGCAATGATCCTGCTGCCTCAGCCTCCCGAGTGCAGGGAATAAAGGCATGCCCCACTACTCCCAGCGTAGGTCATATAATTTGAACTTACTCTTTGGGAAGCAGTAAAGTGACAGCTAAGGATACTGTTTTTGTTTTGTTTCTTGAGACAGGGTCATACTATGTAGTTTAGGCTGGCCTTAAACTCAGCAGTACTCCTGCCTCAGCCTCCCAAGTGCTGAGATTACAGGCGTGCACATCATGCCTGGCTAATGGTACTATTTTTAAAAAAATATGAAATACCCTAATGGGGTCATTGCCTTTTCAAAGTGTCATTTTATCACAATGACAAAAAGAAATCTATACTTTATTTAAACAACATTAGACTGATCCAGTTCTCCTTTCCTCCCCACAGGTAGCTTTGGATATGTTAAATCCTCAAGTGGCACTGCCTGCTTTATACCCATGTCTTAAACAGGGTGGTATATGTGTTGTGTATATGGCAAAGTAAGTAATGGGACTATTTTCCTGTATTTTAATGTGATTTTAAAATACACTTTCCTTTTACCTAGTACCAGATACAGTGTTCATTTTGTAACTGAGCAAGGCCTATGTGTCATGTTATAAAAGTGTTATCATGCAGCAGGTGTGGTGGTGCATGCCTATAATCCCAGCACTTGGGAGGCTGAGGCAGGATGATTGCTGTGAGTTTGAGGCCAGCTGGACTACATAGTGAGTTCAAGGCCAGCATGAACTACATAATAGGACTCCGTGTCAAAAACAAAACAACCATAAAAAAACCTGTTATAGTGCATGTCCTAAGTTCAATTACAGTGTGTATTCCTGTTTAAATCATCCTTTACAAATATAGTGACATAAGATGCATATTTCTTCTGATTGGAAGAAAAGTTTTAGAAGTATACTATGAACAGTGATACTAAATTATGGTCTCTATTTTTTATGTAGTATGTGAAATTACTTATTACATGCCCTAAATTGCATGTTCATCCCCCACTGACCTGGTTTAACAGTGGCATTTAAATTTGGGTATTAGTATTTAAATTTAAGTATGAATTGTACTGAACTAAAATAAAAGTAATTCTTTTAGTGGAACTGTTAAGTACATTTTTTGCCTTTCTGAAAGCATCACACAGGTTATTGAACTTTTAGATGGAATTCGCATCTGTGAACTTGCTCTCTCATGTGAAAAGATAAGCGAGGTCATTGTCAGAGACTGGTTGGTTTGCCGTGCAAAAGACAAAAATGGAATTTTACCTAGGAAAGTAGAACCTAAAATCAACACAGATTTACAATTACATTCTGAAAAGGAAATTGAAGATGAAGTTGAGGTGTTTCAAGAGGATAACCATGGTGAGCTTCAATTTTATTTTATGCATGTATTTGCATTAACAAATGGAGAATGGATTCCTGAGTGTATTGACTGTTAGGTAATATGTTGCTTAGGGATTTTTTCCTATAAAAATTAAAATGTGGTATTTATTCAGTTAAATTTAAGATGTGTAAGGGACAAAATAATGAATTTCTGTACCTTTTATATAAAACTGTGGTGTCTTTGAAGAATTGAGCTTGTCATTTTTTTTTGGTTTTTGCTTATCATAAGGTTGGTTTGAGAAAAAATTTAAATGTAACAATATGGATTTTTTGATTTAGTGGTACTAGGAATGGAACCACAAAGGTATATCCTTAGCCCTTTTTATTTTGAAACAGTGTTTCACTAAGTTACCTAAGCTGGACTCAAACTTGCAATCCTCCTGTGTTAGGCTTCTCAGTGCTGGGATTATAGGCATACCTGCCTCTACCAAAAGATGTTTTGTTTTTTAGTTTTTAGATACAGAGTCTTACCATGTAGTTCAGGCTGGCCTTGAACTCCAGAGATCCTCCTGTCTCAGCAGGATTACAGGTGTGCACCACTATACCTGATAATGATATTTTAAATATACATCCATGATTATTACTAAAGGGAATGGATTTAATGAGTCCCAATCTTCAGATAGTAATACTGTGAAAACCAACTCCTAAACTGTGGTGCACGCTTGTAATCCTAGCACTTAGGAGGCTGAGGTAGGAGGAAAGCTGTGAGTTCGAGGCCAGCCAGAACTACAGTAGTGAGACCTTATTTCAAAAAACAAACTAAAAAGCAAAAAACCAACTCCTAAGATGCTGCTCAAATTTCTTCTAGAACTAAATTTAGGTCCTTGTTATATGTATAGAGTATTAAAAGTTTTCAGGTATCCACTGATTTATGATATGGACTTACCCATTTGGTTATAAACCCTGTGTAAGGTTATTGTGTAATCATTGACAGATTACTTCTATACAGTAGCTGGAAGAGGAGCCCCAAAACGAATGCTTGAAAAAGTCTGAGAGCCAGGTAGGGTGCTACATGGGTGTAATCCCAGCACTTAGGAGGTTGAGGCAGGAGCACTGTGATTTTGAGTGTCTGGGCTACACAGTGAGTTCAAAGCCAATCTGAACTACATAGCAAGACCCTGTCTCAAAAAACAAAACAAAAAACAAACAAAAAGTCATAGTAAAGGGACAGTAATTAATATTTAATAGTTTTTGTGAATAAATTATAAAAGTTTATGTAGCATATATCTGTATTTTGTTCCACAGTAGAAGAATCACAATCTGATTTCCCATATGGATCCTTTCCCTATATTGCAAGACCTATCCGCTGGCAAAGTGGTCATACAGGTGAGTAATGTTTTCTATACGTAAGAAATTATTTTGTCTTCTAATTAATGAAATGTAGTGACATTACTTTTTTTCTTCTTTTAAATTAGCTTTCCTCGTCAAGTTGAGGAAAGTCAAACCACCATTTAACTGAGTATCTCAAATGACAGCAGTGGACTTGAAGATGAAAAAGTATCAAACTAGAACTTTATATTGGTGATCACTACTTTTATAGGTTGGTATTTTTTAGCTATTACTATGATTTGTATAACTTTTACATAAAAGTTTGAAAGATAACAAAAGCTAGAGAAAGCTGTGTAACATTGCAAAATTGCTTAAGTGTCCCATTTTGACGTTTGTCTTGCATTTGACATTTTGTAGCTATTGATTCCAAGTTGCTTTAATTGAACTATCTTATTCTTCACTTCCTGTGAACCACTCCATAGATTTGTCTTTCTTCATGAAATCAGTTTTCTTTTCTTTGCTTGCTTGATGGTCATTTGCTACTGAAATAAAATAGGCACTTTAAGATAAATTTTCTGTATCTGTATATTTTAAATACATATTTCAATAGCTTGTGCATATTTTAAAAATAATAAAATTTGGGCTATAGTAAAGCTGAGAAAACTGAGAAGAATACAATCACCTTAAAAATTATTTTTTTTTAAAAAATGTAACTTTTAAAAAAATTCTGGTTATTGAACCTGGGGCCTCAATTGTTATACATGCTAAGTACATGAGCTATATACTCCAAGATGGACAACTTTTAACTTTGTCATTCCTCTCAGAATCTTTTTAACCAGTTTGAAAGAATATCAGAGTCATTGCATATAAGTAAAATGTAGAAATACAAGTTAGACATGAATTAATTAGTAATAGATAGGACTTACTTATCATTTATGAGAATCAGTTATTTTGCATTTACTATATACCACACAGTTTTTAAAAACTTTATAAAAAGCTTTGCTAAGTAGGTGAAAAAACACAATAGGCCCCAGCTGGGATTCATGGCTCCCCCAAAATGTGGTGGATTCTAATACTAAGGTCCTAGAAAGATACTAACCACCCAGACACCTCAGTGTGGGAGAATATTTTGGACTCATTTCTCTTTTACTTTGTTTTGTTCTTTGTCCTTTTCTCCTTTTCTCTTATTTATTGTTTTTCTGTTACTTTTACCTAATTCTTTTTTATTTTTTTGAGAAGGGTCTCACTGTGTAGCCCAGGCTGGCCTTGAACTCTTGTTACTTCTCCTACCTCAGACTCCCAAGTGCTGGGATTACAGGTGTGTGCTGCCACGTTTTTTTTCTGGCGGGGGGCGCCTTTTTGAGACAGGGTCTCATTATGAAGTTCAGACTGGCCTTGAGCTCACTTTGTAGCCCAGGCTGGTCTCGAACTCACAATGATCCGATCCTCCTGCCTGAGCCTTCCTAGTATTGGGATTACAGGTGTGCACTACCACACCCAGCTCTCCCCCTTCATTTATTGTTACTATTAACCTTTATGAATTTTAAGCCTTTTTGTTTATATTATTATTGCTGATTTTTGTTGTCAGTGGTATAATTGTTGCATTTAATTGGTTTTCACTGTATGTCAATATCTGCCTTGTCTTTTTGACATTAACATTATTGAACCGACTGTGGTGGCTCTTACACAGTAAGATCCTGTCTCAAGAAAACAACAATCACATTATTGAGGTTCATTTTCTCTTCTTGGAGTGAGGCTCAGGGTTAAGCCTTTAAAAGAAGGCTAGTCACTAACATGATCCTAAAATCAAAGTGGAAGAGAAAGCCCAGTGTGCTGGCCCCTTTCCCTAATCCTAGCACTCAGGAGATGTCCATCCCAAGAGACACAAAATTCTCAATATAGAAACACAAGAAGTATGAAACATAAGGTAATATGGCTTCTCCAAATATCCATAGTTTGTCAGTGACTGGATGCAAAGATATCAAAGTAGATGAGCTGTCAAAGAATTCAAAAGACTGATTTATAAAATAATGACTTCAAAGAGGATACAAATAAAGTGGTCATGGTGGCACATGCTTATTATAATCCTAGCACTCTGGGAGGCTGAGGCAGGGGGACTGATAGTTTGAGCCAGCCTGTGCAATTTAGTGACTTAGTGAAAATAAAAGTGCTGGTGATACAGCTCAGTGTGAAGGCCCTGGGTTTAGACTCCAGTACTGTAAAAGCCAGAAAACCAGCAGAATTAATTAAGGAAGACAATGCAAGATTTTCTTTCTTCTTTTTTCTTTGGTTTTTTTTTTTTTTTTTTTTTTTTTTTTTTTTGTCTTTTTGAGACACACTTTTACTGTGCAGTGCAAGCTGGCCTTGAACTCACTTTGTAGCCTAGGCTGGCCTCAAACTCATGGATCCTCCTGCCTCAGCCTCCTGAGTGCTGTGATTATAGGTGTGTGCCACCATGCCAGCCGACAGTGTAAGATTTGAGGAGTAATTCAACAAAGAGGTAGAAATTCTGAAGAACCAAACAAATTCTGGAAATAAAAAACACATACAAAACAGTGGAAAGCCTTACCAATGGACAGGAACAAAAAGAAGGTAGAATTTGAGGGCTTGCTGGCTATGGTGCTGCACACCTATAATACCAGCACTTAGGAGGTTGAGGAAGGAGGACTGCTGCGAGTTTGAGGCCAGCCTAAACTACATAGCAAGACCCTGTCTCACAAAAAACACATGAAGGCTTGAAGGTAATGTTGAGGAATTATTACATGCAGACACTGTTAATGAAAGAAAGAAAATTTTGAACAAAACATCCAATAGCTTTGGACATGGTTAAAAGACCAAACTTATAAATTTTTGGAATACAAAAAGTCGCTTAGGTTCAGACTTACAGCGTAGGAAATCTGTAATGAAACAATAACAGATCTGTGCTAGAAAGGCCCAAAGGTCAGTGGTGGAAGCTGGAAAGTCTTTTCCAGTGGGATGAAGGATCTGTGCTAGCAAGCCATTTTCTCCTGGTGGAACTGTGATTTTCTTTTGATCACTGTCTGTTTCAGGGCAGCAGCAGGAGGCTGTGGGTCTGAGTCCCATGGTAGTGTTATATGAGTTTTCAAGAGCATCACCCTCTACCTTGGGAGAGTTCTTCAATCCAAGGAAAGCATCCAAGTTCAGCTCTGGCTGAATTCCTTTCCAGATCAGTGTAGGCTGTGAATCTCCATGGGGCAGAGGAAAGGCTCAGGGAGGCTTTGCCAACTCCACAGTCAAGGCGCTGACCCAGCTGCATTCCCACACAGTGGTTCCTAGGAATGTGCAAGTCCCCAGGCTCCTTGGACCTGCAGAAGCTCAAGGCTTCAGTGGGAGCTCATGAACATTTTCATGGATGACAGGACATTTTCATGGATGATGGCATACTATGTCTTTTGGCAGCAAAAGCAATTCTAAGAGGGAAGTTTGTAACTATCAATGTCTATATAAAAAATCAGAGACATCTCAAATAAATATCCTAACAATGCATCTCAAGGTCTTAGTAAAAAGGAAAAACCAAAAACAAACACAACAGAGGGAAAGAAATAATAAAGATGCCTAAAAGTAGCCAGGTGTGGTGGCGCACACCTCTAATCCCAGCACTCAGGAGGCTGAGGCAGGAGGATTGCCACAAGTTCGAGGCCAGCCTGGGCTATAGAGTTCAGGGGCAGGAGGATTGCCACAAGTTCGAGGCCAGCCTGGGCTATAGAGTTCAGGGGCAACTATATAGCAAGACCCTCTCAAAAAACAAAACAAATGAAACAAAATAAACAAAACAAAAAACCAAAAAGAGTGAAAGTGATGAGATAGAGACTAGAAGAATAATACACAAGATCAATGAAACATTTGGTTCTTTGAAAAAATGAGACTGATAAACACTTAGTCAAACTAAAAGAAAAAAGACCTAACTCAGTGTCATTACAAGAATAGGATGTTGCAACAGACATCACTGTAATCCAGAGAATAAGCCTATATTCTCATAAATTGGAGAATCTAGAAAAACTGGATACATTTCTAGACACAACCTACCAAAACTGAATCAAGGCTAGCCATAGTGGCGCCCGCCTGTAATCCCAGCATTCAGTAGGCTGAGGCTACAAAGTCAGTTCAAAGCCAGCCTGAACTGCATAGTGAAAGCCTGTCCCCAAAAGACAAAAAACAAAACAAAAAAAACTGAACCAAGAAGATATAAAAACTGAAACAGATTAATAACAAGCAGTGGGTCTGAAGCAGTAATAAAAATTCAGCTGGGTCTGGTGGTGCACATCTGTAATCCCTGCACTCCGGAGAGTGAGGCCAGAGGATAACTATGAGTGTAAGGCCAGCCTATAAACAACACAGTGAGACTCTGTCTCAAAAAAAAAAAAGAAAGTAAAATTCCGTCAACAAAGAAAGCCCAGAACCAGACAGATTCACTGCTGATTTTTACTAGGACCTTTAAAAACACCAATCCTCCTCAAACTATTACATGAAGTAGGGAAGAAACACTTCCAGATTCATTCTGTGAAGTCAGCATCACCTTGATAAAAACACTAGACAGGGACACAACAAAAAACAGTATAGATCAATATCTTGATGAACACAATGCAGAAATCCTTAATAAAATTGCAAATTAAATTCAGTTTAAAAGATTATATGCTGGGTCTGATGATACATGCCTATAATCCCAGCACTGGAGAGGCTGAGGCAGGAGGATTACCTTGATTTTGAGACCAGTCTGGGCTGCATAATGAGTTCAAGACCAGTTTCAACTGCATAGTGAGTCACTGTCTCAAAGAAACTATATGTATAATTGATAACTATGTGTATAGAATATTCATTATGAATATTCACAATATAATACAAAAGGCCGTACATTACAATCAACTTGGCTTCATTCCAGGGATGCAAAGATGGTTCACCATACACAAATTGAATTTAATACGGTACATAAATAGAGTAAACTGTAAATATTACATGTTCATCTCAGTTGATGCAGGAAAAAAACAGAATTCAATATCCCTCATGATAAAAGCCCTAAAGAAACTAGGTACTGAAAGATCATTCCTCAATACAGTAAAGATCATATATGACAAACCCACAACCAACATTATTCTGAATGAGGAAGGAAGAAAACACTTTTTCTAAAGGTAGGAACGAAGCAGGAATGTCCACTCTCACCACTTCCTATATTGACATACTCAGTGTATTTCTTGAAATTTTAGCTAGATCAATTAGGCAAAAGAAAAAAAAATGATACAAATAGGAAAAGAAGTCAAGTTATCCTTGTTTGCAGATAATGCAATCCTATACTTAGAAGACCCGAAAGACTTCATAAAAGATGTTTAAAGTTGATAAATGAATTCAACAAAGTAGCAGGATGTAAAATCAGTGTTAAAAGCAAATAGCTTTTTGTACACCAATAATAGAGTTGCTGAAAAAGAAATCAGGAAAACAATTCCATTCACAATAGCTTTAAAAAAAAAGCAAAAACCCTAGGGATAAATCTAACCAAAGAGGTGAAGGACCTCTACAATACAAATTT